TAGTATGACTTCAGAACGGGGTGAAAATAACTATTTCCTCTACTTATAATTACCATTATCTTGTTTATTATATATGTTTTCCTAATTTTCAAAATGATGTATCGTACTGTTGGATTTAAATTTTATGTATTAGGCCTTTGTATAATGTGTTTAGTTTTTGCTCTTATGTACGTCTTGAAGAATTAATGATTGTATATGTAATTTTTTCGAATCTCAGCATTGATGTTTTATTTTATAGTTATCATGGCAAAAATCTGGTCAAACTCGAATTCGAAGCTCTCGATATCTCTGGGAAAAATTATATCTCATGGACATTGGATGCCGAAATTCATTTGGCGGCAAGGGGATTGGAAAAAACAATAATATCCCCAAATGATTCATCAATACAGGATAAAACTAAAGCAATGATATTTCTGAGGCATCATTTGAATGAGGCTTTGAAAAATGAATATTTAACTGTTAAAGATCCTGCGGATCTATGGAAAGCCTTGAAAGAAAGGTATGATCACTAGAAAACGGTGATTCTTCCCCGGGCTCGTTACGAATGGATGCATTTACGCTTCCAAGATTTCAAAACTGTTAACTAGTACAATTCGGCCATGTTCCGCATTTGTTCGGTATTGAAATTATGCGGAGAAAACATAACTGATTATGATATGCTGGAAAAAACATTGTCCACGTTCCACGCTTCAAATGTACTATTGCAGCAACAATATAGAGCAAAAGGCTTTGTAAAATATTATGAGTTGATTTCTTGTTTGCTGTTGGCTGAACAAAATAACGAGTTGTTGATGAAAAATCATGAATCTAGACCCACGGGGTCTACTGCGGTCCCTGAAATAAACGCTGTAATATCTAAACAGGGAACCGGAACTGAAAACAGCCAGACATATGTGCGTGGAAATACCTCGGGACGTGGTCGGGGTCGTGGACGTGGACGTGGCCGTGGCCGTGGATATGGCCCAGATCGCCGATTTGACCAAGGCTTCAAATTTCACAGAGGGTACAACTCGGGCCGAGGGAATTATCGTGGACGAGGCCGTGGCTATGTCCAAAATTTTGAAAGGGGGAGAAATTTTCAGC